TCCCGATCAGCTGCTCGAGTAATCATATTCTTCTCTATTCTACGGATTTAATAATCATTGCCAAGTCAGAGACCCAGACGATATTGAGCACACTCGAGCTACCGCTTATTATTTGCGAGGTAATCACAAGCAGACACTCTCGAGGATAATTCCGTCCCTCGAAGAAACCTTTGATCCGCACTCAACAGGTCTGGTGGAGGCACTACAGACGACGGGCGTATACAATAACTCTAAACCCAGCATCAGTTCCATCGACCCATCTCAGGCCTCCGCAACCTAGTATACAGACGGAGGACGAATTCTCCTGCGGGTGCAACGAAAAGGGGGGAGGGGAAGCTTCGCGTCACACGCAATCCGGCATTGCTCCGCGAGATGACCAGCGACGGCCTCCAATGCACTCCAGCAGTCCCAACGGTGTCGAGGAGAGTAACACAATGGACCTCTGTTGTCCGCTGCTCGCAGTGATTGCAGTGGCGAAAAAGTGGCCTGCCGCCGATCAATGCAGTCCGGGTGGCTGCTGGTGAGGGGAAGAAAACGGGGTATACAGAAAGTATGTCCCATGCTGCTTTCGGTACACAATTGCACTTACAATAAGCATTTACAGAGTATTTACGAAGAGTGGTACTGCTGCAGTAGTTTCAACTCTCGAAATGAATTGAGAAGCCATGCTCGGATCATCCACCTTTTCTGGACAGCTCATCAATGGATTTGAATATGATGTTTTCCTTGCGAATCGACCTATGTAGTCTCGGTTCTGTTGGTGTAAGAAGGAAATGGAATGATTCCTTTTGACGAAGAAAATCTTTGTGTCTAGCGCGAGACGAATCCAGGATTGGAAATAAATTATATGCCAACGATTTAGTATCATAAAACACTAAACACTGTTGCTATTAAATTTCCTGGTGAGTTTCTTGGGGATTGAAAATAGCCAATTCTAGCCGCCATTAAACGTAAGGCGAAGCGTATTTTCGAAATAGTTTGCCCCGCATTTTCCGTAGATGCACATAAAGATGTACTCTTAATCACATTCACCGGAACGAATGTTATTCAAGTGACTTTCTAAAAATGGATATTATATATATTATTCTCGTTTTCGAAGATTTTGGAGACGACGTACTTGCCAGCCCGGTTTGGGGTCCACTGAGCAATTAACATTTATATTACAGCGAATGGAAATCGAAAAAAATTGAATTTAATTTTCGTGACTTTTTCTGCCTGAGAACTGATCATGCTTGAACTCGGCAAATACTGTACAGTACTTGCATATTCTTGCGACTCAAACAAATTCAAAACATTTTAAGAAAACCGCTACAAAAGGTTGTTTGGATATTTTCAGTTATCGGGAAGGACATTTTTGAAAGTTTTAGAACTCCACATTTGAAATTTTCTGGACATGTATCGGTCATCGACGATGTAATTTTAAAAGGGGAATATTGCGTGTGGGTAGAGATGATGCCAAAATACTTTGGTTGGTTTCTGTAAAACTTCAAGATAAAGTGGTGAGTTTTATAAAACCTCACATTTGCTTTTCCTCCGAACTATTTGGAGAAGAATGGGCCATCACCACCATCCAAATCACCTCCCTTCACCCTCCGTATTCTCATTTCCTTCCTCCTGTCTCAGCCATGTGATGCCGTCAGGAAGTCCACGGTTTTCTTTCCCTTCGATTTTTTTGCTTCGCATAATTCAAGGGTGAGGGTTTTCCAGTGAACGAAATTTTTCAATCCTTTCACAGAAAGGATTTAGGCCGCGTGATTTACGGCAAATATGCAAACGCATGATCCCTTCTGCGATCGAAAATTCGTGTGTCCAAAATCACAAGGGGCTGCTAGCATCTGATTTTCATGGCGCAGTTTTTGAAGTACCCTTGTCAGGATATTCACTTTTTTTCTTCTAGCGGGAAAAATGAGCGAGGCAGGATACGAATACCTCATTAGTGACGGCTGTTGATGAATGGTTCTGAAAAGAGCTATTTGAGTGGGAAGCCGCTGGGCGTTTTCCCGTAGTGTTGTTTCGCCTTCCGTAAAATGTATAACAAGGTCATTTCACGTCAACGAGTATCCAGCAGCAACGAATGCAGACGAGAAAGTCATCAAACGACGTTAACATAGCCACAAAAATAAAATAAAAACATCTCAGGATTTGTCTTATAGATGCCTCATCATTCTTCTCTTGAACATGAAACCCTCATTCCATTCATCTCAAACGAATTTTCCACTTACATCAGAGATCATAGTAGGGGTATTTCTAAGCCAACCTTCGACAACTACTTCACGAAGCACTCAACGTTGATTGCAGCGAAAGCGGCTTGTTTGTGTAGACAGGTTATGTTGCACAACCTACAGCTGTTTCTTTGCCATAAAATTGTATCTACCGAGATCGTAAAGCTGCCCTCGCTTTCGGGATTAATTTCCTGTGATATGAGAAAATGCAATGGAAGAAGTCGATCCGTTTATCAACCCAACACAAAGGCTGACGCATCATGAGGAAGATGAGGCCGTTATTCTTGTCAACAAAGAAAGCGCTTCGAAATAATAACTTGTTTGCAGAGGAGCTTAGTTATATTATCACAAGAGAGGCATCTGTTTGCAGATGCACGAGTAATTTCGGATTTAAATTTGAACGGAATTGAAACATCGTTTGTTCTTTTTGAAAACGCCGAACATATTTTTTGAAGTGGCGGGATATGAGAGCCGGAAGTTTCAATTCTCGAAAGGAACCGCGTGCAACTTCAATTCAATTCGATCGGAATCAATCGGATTATTCTTTCCCGTGATAAGAACTTCTTGCTACCGAAGGCACCGCGTGGAACGAATCGAGTTTACCGAAGACGAAGCGGTCTAGTTATTCCGACAATCATTTGGGAACGGTTCGTTCAAAAAGCAATGGCATGCATCTTCGAGAGGAACCGGACCCGAGCATTTGATGCAGGCATTCCCATTCCACGTTTCCGCGCCCACGTGGCCATAAATTATAGGAACGGCTCAAGGGAACACTCTGTGGGTGAGCAACGATACGGGGAAGGCGGCTCGCATGGAACACGCTCCCAGGCGCACGCGGATCCAAAGTGAGCTTATGGTATACATCCCTGGTTTTGATCTTGAGTTCCGAGGTTCTGCTGGTTGTTGATCCAAGCCGAATATCGAGAGTAGAACGCGTGAAGGACCACGACGTCATGCGGACCTCTCGAAAAGGTTTCCTTTTGTAAAGGACTGCTTTCTTATTTTTCCATAGACCTCAGGAACCAGAAATACACTTGAAAGAGATTTCGTCCTGCTGTTGGACACGAAAGAAAACGACACCTGTACTGAATGTACACTTTTCCTTTTGCTTCGACGGCACCTCAGTCGTCTGAGCTCGTCGGGCGACACATGAAAGATTCGGCAGATTTTGACGCTTTCGTGTTCCCGAAAGCGACATTAATTTTAGCAAAAGGAAATTAGCTTCCCAAGGAAAGCGTTGTCCGAACGTGTCGAAGTTTGAACAAATGTTCGATCAGGCAGAAGTGTGAACATAACCACATTCCAAAGGTGTTTAATTGGTTCGAATGAACTAATGATTGTATCAAAGAAAAGTTGCCTGTTGTATGTCATGTAGCATGGACAACTTTACTTTTTCGGAATGGTTTACAATCTTTACATTTTTGGTTGCACTTCAATTCTTCGAGCAGTATAAATGGTGATCGAACTGGTATGGTCTAAACTTTTTTGTGAACCACGAGAAAAGTTCCGGAAGTTAAATTGCCATCGGGACATTTTCATCAATCACTCCCGTTGTCGACCTCTTTCGAATGAAGAAATGAAATACTGTAATAGCTAAGGGTTGCTAACTAAAGCGGCTGCTTCATTTTATCTGCATCGATCGAATCATTTTTTAAATGAAAAAATTATCATAGTCAGGTGGTTTTTTAACCAATTGGCATCTCGTGGAATATAGTACAAGGATAGCTTGATTGACGACTCGAAGAGATTAAAAGCGACCGAAATACATCTCCTGAGAAGGAAGCGATTATAATTTACATTTTCTTCAGTGCAATGCGTAAAAGATCCGCGAACTTCATCAAGCCTCAGTTCGCAGATAGAAAATAATAATTAATACCATATAAAAATGTTCAAATTCCAGACGATTTTTCCAATAGAAAGAAATCAATCGTAAGTACAGCATTTGTAAAACTTGAAACTATTCTGAAGGAAAGAGTTTTATTTGAAGTAAGATGCGTGAGTGGCGTGCAATTTTTTTCGTCTTTACCTAACCCGGCCAAGACGATGAAAAATATAACGCGTGCGAGTCATGTTGATTAATGTATATATTTTTGGATATCGTGTGAACGACCTTCAAGCCATCCTATCGAGCATATACTTTAATTAAATGTATTACAAGATTACAGACTTTAATCATGCTTGAACAAATTTGTGTAAAAAATAAACGGCATAGCAAATATCTTGCAGTTCTAATTCATTCAATTTGAGTTTGAGTTGAATTGTTGATCAAATTTGTAGGTAATTTTCCCCGGAAATTCAAGCAAGATGTGTCATTCATATGCAAGTAACAAAAAACAACTGGACTACGCAATACCATTTCAAGGGTTGACTATGCTCAACGATTTTTTTTCTCATCCAACGTCCGTCAGATTAACGTTTACGCTTTTTCACATCTCCAAAATTTTTTTCAAATGTTATTATTTTCTGAATTTCATTTTTTATATCTATGTGTATCAGAGGCCTGTCGAATATAATTGCCCGACACCACCTTGGCATTCCGAATAAATGTGAAGAAGTTTAAAAAAAAGTGGTAGTAGATGTCACTGCTATGATATGTACATGCACGAAGTGCGCACAGGTTCACCTGTTCACTCTGCATAATGAAACGAAATCACGCTGGACTAAGCTGAAGCATTTTGATCTATTCTGATGTCGTTGTTAGAAAATATAAAAATATTGAAATGAAAGCTTCGTTGTGAGCGTGTTGAAAAAAACACAATGAAAAATGGAATCCACAAAACGGTTGAACATATCCTTATATTTCTCATTTTACAATCTCGTCAGGGAATGCCTCAACTCAAATATGGCTCGTGAAAAAAAGCCTGAGGTCTGAAAACAATCTTATCTTAAAGCGCAAAAGCAATATTTCCTCAGATGCACAAATCAATCCCTGGCATGAATTCCGTTGTAATCCTGAACGAAAATAATGCTGTAACCCATATTGATAGCTCATCGATTTATCTCTCACGACATCTCGCATGTCTCAGTTGTCTCACTCTGTTGACGAATGGAAGCATTGATTTCCTCTTCCCAATCCTAAGAAGGGAAGGCACGACTGCACCTTTTCCGGGTAAGAAGTCACCCTGCCAAAGATCATGTTATTCTAACCGAACTGATACTTGAATCCATCGTCAACAGCTCATATCTGGACTAAAAAGCCCCATGCTCTCGAATAAAAATTAAACTATCTTTTTCGTCCAATGTAAGCGAATATTCCCGAAAAGTCGCTGAATTTCAGATCTGCGATTAGCCGGTCTATCCAGGCCTTTAATGATTAAAAATTTGTAATCAAGAAAAAGAAACCGGAAAAATTGTACGATTGGAACATGAGACAACGAATTCGCCGGCCCAAGAAATTGCACGCATTCACGACAGCAAAAGAATACTGTTGAAGTAATATTACTCAAACGACCATGTACAGTCGTTTTCGAATTCAACCGACGCAGACGGGCAAGCAGCGGAGGCTCACGTAAAGAGTATGCAGTATAGGACTCGATCGAAACTGCGTTTTCATGTCATCGGTTGATCCATTTCAAGCCTCAAGCAATTTCTTCTTCACCAGCTTTTTTCTGGAGTTCTTGCCCTCCAACCTCTCCCAAAGAGCGCCGTAAATCGTTTGGGATCAAGTAAGTCCCAATGCACCCAACAAAAAGCAGCCCTGCTAAAACGAGCAGAGTGTAAACAGTTCCGATCGTATCCATTGCAAATGAAGATGCCGAAGTGACGACCAGGCCGAAAATTTGTGCGCTGGCATTCAGGAGCCCCGAAGTCGTGCCTTCTGCTTCAGGGTACGTGATTTCTGCTGCTAGCTCGAACCCAACGGACAGGTATCCGGTCATAAAAAACCTTTGCATATGAAGAACGTTCAAATTTGTACCGTACGCAGACAAACGTGAGCAATTTCGATTATAATTAACAAGAGTAAAATATTAATACTATATACTAGACTTGAGGAGACTCGAAAAGAAAGTCGAATACCGTACCTAGAACTACAGTATATTGCAAAAGAACATTCCAAGATTTTTCTTCAAATCAGGGAAGCACATACTGTACAGTATTCAATCCCGCAATGTTTCAGTAGAATCAGTGTCAACGTCAATCCTTCGAGCTACAGCATTACGATTCCTTTCGTTGGAATTTTCTTCACGTCTATTTCAAAGGGAAAGTAGACTAATTATTCCATCATTTGTATATTGTATTGTACTTTATGAGCAAAAGACAAATTCATCACACACTATCAAAATCTCCAAACGTATCAGCACAATTTATTTTTTGTTCATAAATTGATGCAATGAATTCCTATTCATCAGGTACCCACACTTCTTAGCTCTGCTACTTTTCCAGTCACTATAAAATGTAGCAAAAGTAGAACATCAATAATTAAATCATTGAGTTGTCGACACGGCAACAAAAATAAATTTTAGATCTGATGAGATTTTAGAGGACCTTCAAGCTTCCATAGCCATTATGATACTGCATTACAATGTTAATTGGAGCTACAGTATGTCCACCCTTGGCAGGAACAATTTTCGTAATCAACATTTTTATTAATTAATCAATCATGCAAGTTATGCTGCATTCACCGCATTTTTGTTATGGGATTTAAAAAAAAAACATGCGCTAAAAAATTCAATTCAGACTTTCCAAAAAAATTGGAGTACCGAGAAGAATCCGTGCGACTTCGAACTTTTTAATATACAATACTGTACTGTATAAATTAAAGCCACGAGAAGTGTCTCACCCGACGATTATTGCGCCAACGTAGACGAATGGCAAACTTCCGAATGGCAAAGCAAAAGTATACAAGCCGAAACTTATCAGGGACAAGCAGTAAACAGTCAAAGTTGTTTCCCTGCGCAGAAAAATAGTTTCAATTTAATTATACAGAACCATCGTAACTGACAAGCTGCAGTACTTGTATTTGTGCGTTTTATCCATGATAACCCCACACACAACGGATCCAACCATGCCAGAGACGACGAATGACAAACCAATTACACCAGCATGTTTTTCCACATCCTTGAAAAAAAAAAAAAACCGGGAGAGAGAAATGTCATGCATTACGACTTTATATTATAGGATAGCAAAATTAGCATTTTTATTCAGCAGCTCCGTTGAAACCGCCAAATTACAATCGCGTCTGAAGTATTCGTAGTTATCTTGTCTCTAGCTTCGCCATGTTAAAGGCGAAGGGAAGAATCATCCACAATAGAATAGCTAATGAGAGCAATTGGATGTATTCATAAGTTCACGAGTTGCTCAGTAATTCGTTGAATGATTCTCCCGCGTTAATAAGAACGTGCAAAACTCATCGGGTTGAAAGCGAACTTTTAACGCTGCTGGAAAAGTTTACTTCTGCAGCAGCATTCTTAAAATGCAACTAGTTCACGTGCAACCGAACATTTTCTTTCTCTTGAACTAACATTCAAAGCAAGAGTTTGAACTGTTTAAAAGATTCACCTCGTAGTGTGCGACGAGCATTTTGTTCAGCAGCGTCGAAATGGCATAAAATACTCCGACGTTTATCCCGTATGTGAGAAACAGGAGTTTGTATCCCTTGTGCTTGAAAAGAAGGTGGAAGACGGACTGAAGGAATTTTTTTCCAGATCCTTGATGACTATCCTCTCGTGCAGAAAGCAGTTGCCTGTCACGAGCAGCGCTTGGCGGCGTTGGAGCAGAATCCTTGACAACTGGAGCAATCAAGCATAAAAACTTTTTGAAAGTCTCTAAAACACGTTTCGAAACGCGTCTGTAACGAAGTTGCTGCATTATTCAAAAAGAGCTGCTCGGACAGATTTTTATCATGTCCCCACTGGCATCGCAAGCGGCTTATCCGGCAGAGAATAAGAATCCCGAACACAATCTTCCCAAATCAGCCCCTTTATTACGCTACATGATTCCACTTGTTTAGGAGGGAAAATATACGCTCTTGGACGAGCGATGAGAAAGCTTCCGAGATAACGCCACGAGCAGCTGACAAAGCTTGTGTGCTCAAGGGCGTCACTCTGATTCACGATCTGTTCAGAATCTGATATACGGCGTTCCACGAAAAAACAAGAGGGAAAAAAAAGCTGATGATGTAGAAGATCGCTGCTTGACCCCAGACTGTTTAATCCTCAATCATTACCCAGTAAAGCCACGTGCTTATCTGTCCTGACACGACCGGAGTAAATGAAGCGGATCACTACGGCATACAATAATATTTTCTGCTACCAAGTACAATCTGACTCACGAGCCATGATGAGAACGAAGATGACGGCTGTGAAGACTGCTCCTGTGAGAAAAAGCTTGGTGAAGGCTCGCTTCTTGGTCTCAACATCGCCATCAACCGGAATCATCATCGGAGGAACGAGGAACCCCAGAGCAATCCCGAGCTTAAAATAAAATAAACCGCAGCCATGTATAAACTCGTTTGCGGATAATCTTCTTTACTCCCGCGAAGAAAATGCACATTGAAGCCACCCGTAGAGGGAACATGTAGTATTTTGATTATGCATAGAATTCTAAACTTGCATTTTCTGATCCACATTCCCCAGCCCACAGATTAAGAAATGCAAAGCTGACACAGAATACAGCAATTTAGAACCCTCAAAAGATGAAGACAGCCATGAAAAACATGAACGAAAACCCACATGATGCTCTCGGAAGTCTACAGGGTGCACCGGTTACAAGGCTCTTTTTTGAATCGTGTGCATAAAATTACAGCGACTAAAGCTATCGTGGAGAAAGCTTTTTCATACTTTTAATATTTTGAATATGTCAAGGACGAACTTCTAGCAGTTATTTTAAGAGGCGATGGTGAAATGTTAATTTGAAACTGAAAAGTTAAATTTGAAACATCAAAGAGATGTTGACAAACATTCAAAATGATGAAACCTCAGAAGTGAGGCAAAAACTGTGCGGAAAGTTCAACAGCCGGTTTCATTTCATGATCCCAGCCTTTTACATCAAACTGAACAATGTGCCAAGACAAGTGAGTCTGCTGCTTCTTTTATGATGACGAAACAAATTTTGAGAAGACAACATGTTGTGCGCTTTTGTGATCCACCCCGTACGCTAACAATTGATCATCAGATCATGGACAGTACGTGCACATCATGGAAGTCTCTGCAGATGCGTGACACGTGAAAAGCATCACGCAAGATCATGAGTGATGAGTTACGTTGGAGTACCAAAGTTGGGGAAAAATTTGCAAGCGTCACGATTGAATAATCCCTGGCTGCGACTAAGTAATTTCATCTTGATGAAGCGGGTACCGAGCTCAGAGTCAGCATCAGCGATCGTCACGCGCCCTGAACGCTGAAGTACTCCTTGAGCTCAAATACGACCTACATCAAATAAGCCCCGCTAGTTGCCATGAACTTGAAAGGAAAGAGTATGCAGTCGTGTCGAGTACAGTACGAGCGGAAGGAGCACAATATTTTTTTACGGCGGGATTGAGTTCACGAGTTCATACCTGATTTCCGAAGACACCAACCGCAGTAGCGGTAGATAATTCCTGTGGTCCAAACCAGTGAGCAGCCAAGTGTGGTGGGATGCCGAGGACGAAAACTTGTGACCAGGCGACGAGCGTTTGTCCGGCAAATGCCCAGATGAAGCTAGACGGATCTGTACCCAAGAGCTTGAGCCAGGAACCCGCGGCTGTGCCAGCGGCGCCAATAATCATGGCGATCCGCAATCCCTACGCCGCAAAAGAAAATACCCAGTTGTAGCAGCCAACAATGCTGAAAGGGGGGTTCGAGGCTGACAGAAGACCCCAGCATCAAAAGAGGGAGGGCGACCCGTACCACATCTGCACCTTCAGCTTGGAATGGACCTGGAATGCACTTTCCAGGCCCATTCCGGTTCATTCCTTTTCAATCGAGAATTTCCCGTCCCACGCATTACTCGTCGGCCCAGAGATAAAAGTGGTTAACGAAAGATCTGAAACAACAGATCTGTCAAAGCGACCTTTGCGATTATTGGCGGGAAATTTATTCCTCCGTTCCCAGAAATTTTGGGCATCAACAGGGAGCAGCCCAAGCCCTCTGGGCAGCCCGGCTCATTTTCAAGTTTAGCCTGTGACGCCGAACTCATAAATTACTCGATCAGTGGATCCTCATGATGGACCTGGGTCGATCTTTGCCGGATTAAGAGCGGATCAATGACAACTGCCTGCCCCATATAACCCAGAGCAATTCATTCACACACATCCGACTCCTCCGTCTGACTTCAGCCTACATCCGTCGCGTCGTAATGGAAGCAACTGATGATTCCAGCAACAATACCCCTCTCAGATCCTCTCATTACTTTTTGCAGGGTGCTGTTATAGAACGTGACCGAACATTTAAGCGCGATCAACCGTAGGGATAATAATCGCGAATCGTCTCACCGACTTTAGAAACTGTTATCGCCTATCGTCGTACTGAAATTATGACAATTAGGATACGTAGCGAGTTTCTAGACAGTAAATGCTCAAGAAAAGTACTTTCGTCCCACTGCACAGGTTGGTGTCATTGGTACAGTAAAATCTCATTACAAAAAACTGACCTCAGAAAAATCGTTATAATATGAGATGATTCGTTCTTTGAGTATGTCAGACTGAAATTTTATGGGAAACAGGAAAACATGTTTTAAAGTACTTCCACAACAGGTATGCAAAGAATTGTCATAATTATCATGTTCTTCTGATGAAATAATAGAACAAACTTGAAATGCAAAATGCTATTACAGTATCTTATTTCAGACCTTCCCTTACATAAATTTCCTAAAAATATATTGATCTTACTGAAGTATAAGCTGAAACAAACAGAGAATAGCTATATAAGAAGAGCATTCATTCATCAACAAGTGTGTGTTCCCTAGAATAAAGCAGTTTCCTTTAAAACATGCTTTTTTAATATGCCATTTCCAAAGCATAAAAGAAAATTAGATAATTTTGATTAGGGCTTCGTATTTATTGCAATAAATGCTAAATGTTCCGTACAAAAGAATTAGCATTTATATTTTTTGAAGGTTTTCAATTATGCCAAAGTTGAGCTTTCCCATTTTGAGCCAAGTAATGAGCAATCTTCTATGGCGTGCACTCGTATAATCAAAAAACTTGTTATGCTGAGATTATAGAGGAAAAATAGTTTGTTATAATACTTATAACCAAATTGTAGTAACATTGTTCCTACGGAGAAACTGCTGGGATCAAAATAAATTTCAATATAACGAGATACTTTACAGCCAAATTTTACTGTATCACATTGCTGTCGCAATTCATAAAAATTTCAAGAGCATTTTCTAAACCATTATTAGGACTTAAAGATACGTCTGTAGTTCCATATCGCAAACTTTTATTTTTTAAGTTGACTGGTTAGGTGGAACGGTTAGAATGTTTACAATTAGCAGTCATAAGAGTATATGTAAGGCATCTTGAAACCGTTTTGGTGGTCAGGTCGGTCACCCCTTTTCGGCCGGTCACGTTCTCATATACAATAATGATTTCATCGCACTCTGTAACGTATACTCTAGCGGCACTCATCTGTCTATACACTGAAGAGATAAGGGTAGTCGAGGGATGAATATAGTCGAGAGGAGCTTGGATAGGAAAGTTACTCACGTATTTCTCCAGGAACCAGGCGCCAGGAAAAATCAGCGGAATGTAAGACACCATGTAAATCATTGAGGTCCATTCAACAGCGAAATGACTGACACCGTAGTATTCCGCAACGATGTTCTCGATTATGACGAACTCGATCCATTGGAAGGCATTTGACATCGAGAACATGCAGAAGATAGCCAGTGTCACGAAGCGCATCCGATAGAGGCGATAATCCTTTTGGCCCGGCACAGGACTGCTCAAAGCTCGATCAAGGTTCCTCTCATCCTCGTCTTTAAGATGCTCCCCACTGGACGACGAGGTCAGCAAGCCCATTTCGACCGGTTTTTCCTCACGGAGAATTTCCGCGCGTAGGATTTCGGCAGTCAGTTCCAGGTGCCCTTCAGGGGTTTTCTGTTTCTCATCACCAATGTTTTCCATTTTGTATTGAACAGCTGAGCGCGAGATCAACTTGAAAACGCTACAGCTCGAGTCCGGGCCCAGCGGTGCGCAGCTTCCCTTCAGCGTCCCGTTCCGTCACTTCCTCATCCGCGGGACGACCAGGGGAAGACGCTGTCCTGTGGACATTATTTTATTTAACTGCTGAGCTCCATACCCGTCCGCAGGATAACGATAGCATGAAGCTACAGTAAAACCTTCATCACGTTTGCTTTAATCAAGCGTGAATTCGATTAACCAAGCCTTGAAATGGTCCCCAAGGTATCTTTGCAACTTGCGTCAGTAGAAGTGGATTCATCCCGCTATTTTATTTTTCAGAATTTCCCTATTATGAGGATTCCTGGAAAATTTCAGGCTGATCCAAGAATTTAATAAATTTTACGTTGGATCATTTCAAGTAATTTTCGTCACCCGTAATTTTCGAAGTCCGGAATGGAATATCCCGGATGAAGGTTTCCCTTCATTGCCCTGGTGTTCACTTTAATGAAATGAGCAACGTTTATAAACCACGGAAAATTTATGAATAAAACGTTCTCACTGCATCGCAAGAATAATTAAATTTGGGGATATCTGCCATGTAAGGATATTTAGATAGAGCACTACTTGCAGCCTGAAGCGTCTGTTCAGATTCTAGCTAAAATTATGTGCGGTGCCATCCGGTGTTTCTCGTTTCCAATCGCCAAGATCAGGAAATTGCTCTCCTCGAATAAAAGGAGAATTTTACGCATGGCGGGTGTTGCTGATATTTGATTAAAAGCGCGAGGCGAAGAATGCACGCCTTAGCTCCTTACGATATTCTCTCTGTCGCTTTACTTTAGTGAAGATCCGGCGAACCATAAAAAAAGTTCTCATTCCTTTCTATACATGAACTTATATCCGCGACTTCTTGGAGCACATGCGAAGCTTACGTCGAGGAAATTGTCTCACGAAAGCGGTGCACAATGCAAGGTAAATCGGCACAGATGCGATCTCGCGTCAAATTCAGAGCCAACATATGAAGACGAGGGTAATGAAGCAAATCTTGGTGCAATTTTTAGCGCATATGCCTAGAAGAATGCTTTTTTCGTTTTTTTTTTCGTCGAAGGAAATTTTATCCTATAAAGCTGCCTCCTCCATCATCCTCGGAAAAGTAGACTTTTCTAGCGCGTGCCACCATCATACAAGACTCCTTGAAGATCCGGCGATAAATACGAAAGATATTCTTAGCTTCGAATTAAATGGAAATCGTCAACGCCCTATTCAAGAGCTCCCGCTTGATCATGCGTGGATCAAGAGTGAGAGCATACTTTGCATGCGAAAATGAAGCAAGCTACGCTCTGTCTCCGAAATTTCTCAATTCAAGCTCAGTTCTCCGATCGAATCGATCAACATCAATAGACTACACTTGATGGTCTTTAAAGGCGGGAATTCTAATGGTACCCTTCTGTTTATTTTTACGCCCGGAGTACAAAAGAAAAACGACTAGGGATTCTCGAAAACTGGGTAGGCCTTCATAATAGATGGAGAATGAGCCGATATAAAAACGGGGCTACCGATAAGTTTAATGGAATTCACAGTCATCCAATTCACCGATACTCGAAGAACTGGAACAAAAATCGGGTGAATTTGCAAGTGCATAACCAAATAAAATGAATAGTCGAATATTTAAAATCTTGTGATACATGATAATTCAATCTTGAAAAGGATCAAAGTTCCAGTGTTAGGAGAATTTTCAATACAAAATTAAAGTCAATCACAGAAATAAGCGGCTCAAATTTGAATGACACAAGACGCTTTCTAGAAATGTGGACCTGCTGAATCCAATGCAGAGAAAATCGAAATACAGCTTATCGGAATTCGACATCTCGAATTTGAAAAAGAACGATTGGCTCAGATTATAAAAAATCTGGCAGTTTAAAATCTTTAAAAATGATGACCCAGACTTTTCATCAAAAAGAAAACCCAGCTTCCTTCAATAATGTACACATTCCAAAATAAATAGGAACTTCCAGGAAAAGCTTGTAACCCTCCATTTCACGACATGAATTCAGTTTTAATCGATGAATCGAAGTCAGACGATGTGTTAAAAACACAGGGACTATTCTTGCTTACACAACGAAGTGCGTGAGGAATGCACTTTCTCTGCATGGGATTTCACAGGAATGCGTCACGTAAACTTTCAAAAGGAACTTCCGAGTAAATGAAACGGATACGTGGTCGGAATGCAAACGGAATACTGTATACTGAACTCGTATTATTGGTGACTCCACTCCGCGTCTTTTCAAGAGTCATCCAGGCAAATCCGGCAGAATTCTTAGCAACTGCTCCGACAATCGTCACGTGGCGGCACGCGACCTAAATTATAGGGCGTATCGTGTCGCGTGGCATCCGGCGAAGATGAAGCCGATAAAAGGGGATAAAAGCCGAAATGAAGCCCGAGATCGTGAGAAGGGATGCCGTGAAGAGTTCGTCGAAACCCGACCTCTACGCAATGCAGTTAATCGCTGCTCGTCACGACGCTTTCGAAAAGTACCTCAGAGACTTTTCATAGGTTTCTATATCGCCAAAAACGCAAGCTCCGCGATTGGAATGTTGCGAGGGACCGAAGTGAATGGAAAAGTTCATCAAGAGACAACTTTAACGAATAGCCAAGTTGAAACGGCCAACAAAGGTTCGGCCGGTCCTTGCGATACTAAGAAAGTCATCGTGATGTTTTTTCCGACACTCAAACTTCCGGGCTCGGAAACTTCGCCGGCTCCTCCATTCATCATGACTCGGACAAGTTATCAAATCTATTCTCGTATCTAAGACCTCCCGTCCGCTATCTGGATCTAGAATAACGCATTATTATCTGCGTAATGACGCGTACTAAATCATGAAAGATGATCGCGTATGGAGCTCGCGGTGGCACGTCCGTTTCTGTTGAGGCAGCCGGTGCGTGATTTGGCTGTCGATGGTTTCGTAGAATGTTAGCACGAGTGTCGTAGAATACCAGCACTCGTGACAGCGATAAAACGCTGAATGATGACAGGTATATAGTCCGAAAAACGTCGTCACACCGGGGGAGAAATTCTAATTCAGATGGAGTCGATCGGTCTTCAAACTAACTGCAGCTTTTAATACTCGATTTTGAAAGCACGGTTAACCCATCAATGTAAATTATTCAAATGCATGGGTAAATCATTCACGGCATTTCACCTTATTCTTCACGTCGACGAATAAAAGTGGAGGTCAAAAGAATCACGCGAGGATGAAGTCATATCATGCTTTCAACTTTTGGGACGCAGAGGGAAAAATTCAAATTCGGTTCACCTGACTACGGGATACCTTTTCTCTGCTATCTCAGTCAGTTAGGAAAGAATAATAACTTCTAATGAAAATATCGCCCATACTTTGAATCTTTCAACAATGTGGCTATCCATCAATTTCTTTGGTGAAACAGAAATGCACAAGATTTCCTAGTGATTTGTAAATGTATTCCAACACTTCATGCTTTTTTAGAGAATCCTTTGTAAATTGTACATTATTACAGTAGTTATTCGCAATTGAACGCAACAAACGCAATTAAATTTTCAATCGGAAATACATGTATGCTCTTCACCTTAACTGACCATTTCTCCCGACTTTCCCAGACGTTACAACAAAATAGGCCGTCCAATATAATTTTTTTTGACGACACTGTACTCGAATAAGTAAGGTATTCCAGCATTGGAGACAGCGGAAAATGTACGCATATTTTGACGACCAGACATTAATAAAGTCGTGAAGCTAGTCACACAGCAAGAAGAACTTTTCCTATACTCGTATTCAGGATTTTTTTCATCTCCACGCCTCAAAAAAGAATACAGTATTTAATTAAGCATCTCTGATACGAAATGGAACGAAGGAATCCTAGAAGATAACCCTTGATATTTAGAGAAAAAAATTTCACAAGGCAGCCGATCCAAAAAAAAAAAAAAAAAGGAGACACGCTTCGCATGAGTAAAAGGCGGCTCGAGTTTCTCTCGAGCTCAAAAGATCTCTCGACATTTTCAACGCTCGGCGTTGATGATGGCATTGTTTCTTCGTAACAAGAGAAGTTAGTTGTACACGCATGTGTGAAAAATCCGCCCCAGGGTAAAAAGCTCGTAATCTTCAGGGGCTTTGAATGCTTTCATTCTAACGAAGGCATTCAGGGGCCGCGCTGTACTAATCACCGGTTGTGTTATCGAAAACGTCGAGAATATGCTCCAGGGAACCGAGTATTAATAATCACCCAGTGGGGTATCAAACTCGCTCCTGATAACGGCGTTCCAAACTATCGGCTGTAATGATAAACCCTGGAGCGCGGCGAACGTCCGATCGGTCAACTCACCGCTGGCGGGAAGGCAGTCCGAACCCGGCGTACTCGTTTACTTCTCCACGACTCCACACCGACACAACACATTCATGAGCCCGTTGAAGATCGAATTCCAAGGAGGAAATTCAAAGACAGAAAGAGGAAGAAACTGGAAACGAGACTGAAAAGACATTTATTCCTTACGTGATTCGAGTTTCAAAATAGGTCCCATTTGAATAGCCCTGATATTTATAGCTGGCTCAGGGTCCAAGGAAATTTCTGAGACAGTGAGTAGAACGTCTGACCGTATCGTATTCCAGGTACTATTAACTATTGGATTCGAACTCTCATTTCTCTTCCCTTTTATCCAGCTATACTTGCACAACTAGTTTACATCAAGAGAATGAGAGTAAACGTGAAATCAAATAATGGGTTCCCACACCATGATGGTCGTCATGAACAAGAAAGGGTATAAACTGTCGTGGATTCATATAATGCAGGTGCTGGAAAACCCATATTTACAGCAGAAAATATTATTCTGATATGGAGTATGTAGACTAGACACTAACGTGTTTCTGATGCATCATCAGTGAGGGGAAGATAAATACGATCAAAACTGCCACAAATCTTATCTAACATTATTTGTCTCATACAAAGGTTCATTAAAATTGAAGCAAATCAACGCACGTCAACTCACTTGATGCAATTTACAGCATAACAGCGAATAAATCGGTATTCACCGGAAAATTCTGATCACATTAGAGCACTCGCAGTACGTCAACACGAAATCCGTTAACCTAAATAACACAGATAGCTCGAAATGAGGCTTAGTTGCTACGAGTAGGACAGCTAGAGGAGTAATTCGAAAACCTGAAACAGTAGCGGTATATAGTTGAAAATGGCAGAACAAAGGCCACTGGCGACAAGTTTAGGCTTAAATTCGACAAAAATAGGCTGAGATTGCAAATTCGATGAAATTTGCCTCCCGCCGAGTCAGCGTTTTCGCTTTAAGCACAAAAATTAGCGCGTTCCAATGAATAGTTCAAGCACTGTTAATAAAACACGCGTGCAACAATACTCGGAACAATATTCGGGGACCAAATAAATGCTTTAGAGAAACAGCTTTGATAGATCGATAAAACAATAAATGATGAATTATCAGAGATACGATTGAGTGAGGGGAGATCCAAATTAATCTAGTGGCGTTGTGGGTTTCATCACTGGTAATGGAAAGCTGGGTGGCACAGAGCGTCGCGGGACGTCGCGGAACCTCGCGTCGTGTGACGATCGCCCGACAGGACTCGCGGAACATAGCTCGACGCGGCTGTGACGAGCCGGCCCTCGACGCATGATCAGTGCTGGCGGCCTCCACGCCGCGCCGCGCCACGCCACGCCACGCGAATCGCCCAACGTCACACCATATTAACGCGGCATCAAAATAGACGCAATCGAGTTATTTCCGCAATCATTTGTGAATGGTTCGACAAAGAAGCAATTTGCAAGCATCTGAAGAGCAGAGCCAGAGGCGAGCACTCGATGTCCGTGCTCTCATTCTACGTTTCCGCGCCCACGTGACCAAAATTATCCGAATATCTCTTGCAAGGAACGCTATGTAGGAAGTAATGAAGTCGAAAAGATGGCTTGCATGGAACACCCACGTGAACATGAAGGGAGTCTACGATACACAGTACACGCGCAATTTCCGTTTTCGAGATTTTAATTCTGTCAGATTACTGATTCAAGCAGAGCATTGCGTGCGAAATGCGTCTCAAGAAATTAAGCACAGCTATATAAAGTATATCCGCTTTCCAGAAGCTGCTTGTTTGTATCTGTCTTCTTAAAATCTCATTACTTGAAAGATAATCGGCTAAGATTTTGACATCGAACAAAGAAAGCAACATCCAAACAAAGGCCACGTTTTTCTTTGAGTTGGTAAATGCCCGATTGTCTGAGCGTTTCTAGTGTTCAAAAGACAGCTCGAGAATTATGCATATGACAGGCATAATTCTCCCCCCACCACCCTAAAAAAGCATTTCAATCATTACAGAGAAAGAAAATAAGCAATGGAAAAAATATTTTAATCTCAAAGTTTGCGACGGAAGTACGGCTGACGAAGATTTGAACATAACCGCGATCGTCATGTGACAGAATCGAGGAGTGAATGGATGCAGTCACGATCAAAGTGAACGAATGCATTTCCGCCTTTGTGTCCCGAATCCGTATATTGGCACTTCTGAGTTTCTCAAGCATGGCTCCTATTTCTGCGTTTCGATTCGTATATCTATACCGACTTCACATTTTTATTGAACAGTGCAAGATATGCATTATTTTTCAGACGATGCCTCCGAGAAATCAGGGCACGTATTGGAATCGATGGTTACTCGAGATTCGAAAAATTCGTATAAAGTTTTCTTATGAATCTCGAGTTACCATTCTTCTTATGAGCATGTCTCGAAATTCCATTCATAAAACTAATGTCTCAATAAGTCTCAAAATCGTCATATCCCATTCAGCACCAAGGTCAAGTTATTCAGAAAACTGAAAATTGGAAAGAATCACCGATTTTATTAAACTTTGCATAGTTTTTCGAAACGACAATAGGTGGTCATGATGCAGGAAAGGGCTTCCAAAAGGAATTGCACTTGAAAGTGAACTAAAACGAGCCCTTGCAGTTTTCAAAGAAATTCAATATCTCCTAGTACAAAGTAAAGGAATGTAGTGTAGTTTTAAACATTGGTACACTGTCCCTCTATATTTTACCTGCGGGTGTTATGCGAAAGTCTTCCAGATTCACCAGGACACCTTGTTTCAGGATGGGCTGAAAGATGAAGGCGTATCTTACAACCAATCGCATCGAATACGTGAGGAAATGCTGTTATTTCGAGCGTTTAAAAACACTTAATGGTCGGGAGAAGATATTTAAAGACCACGAGCACTTTCCGAGTTTCAAAGCCACCATCTCGAATATCAATAAGGACTAATATTCGCCAGAATAGCACGCGGATCATTCAACGTCGGTTGACACGCCGGTTCAATTCGCAAGATTGCCTGACACGCGGATTCGCTTCCTGGGGTCGTCAGACACTCGGGTCACATGACCCAGAGTAAAATGGTTCGAACGATCTGCCCGCAACGTCGCAGCTGCCGTGGAACGACCTCACTGCGCATAATGCGACAGGGCCGTGTTCCCGACTGCCTACAACTGATGCCAACATTCGCGTAACGCGAAAATGCGAGAGGATATTGCCCTGCTTGGACCAGTAAACTGGAATGTCACATTTCCGGTTAGTCTGAATCGAACGATCATCCCATCCGGCGGGCATCACTCACGCTAGTATCACTGCTTCCAGTCTCTGGGACTGGATAGACTGTGCGATCACTCATTGTAAATTCACGTGCGGATTTTCCCACACTTATTCCTGTCAGACGCAATCTTCTCCTCCTATTTAAATGAAGGGACATCTTCTAATGTCTATTTTCCCAAGTCAATTTGAGACGATTAAAAAAATTATTAATGTTAAGTCCCGCTACCTGCTGCAAGTAAAAGAATTGGATTTCTTTTGTCTTAGCACACGATGTCCCCGATTAAAATTGGGGCTTTATTTTTCAAAAATCATACTGTAAATCTGCTAGAAGTTTGGTGCAAAAAGTGTACTGGGCACAGATTCTTCTTGTTTTAGAAATTTCCAATCTATGCCGCAATTATCTGTGGATTTGATTCACTAAACTCGCATAAAAACGTGTGAGGCGTTGAAAACCGTGATTGACGCAAAAATAAGCGTGGTTCCATTTTTTAGAGAAGACGTGCACAGTTCAGTACATCCGATGGGTCGTTTTTTTTTAAAGGCAGGTAATGAGGTCGTCTGAAAATTTTCTCGCTCTTCGACAGAAAAAAAGAATGTTCCTAATATTAAGTCATGGAAGGAATTCAACATCTATCATTTTTCTTATCAGGGATTTTTGATCATTCATGTCCTTTGACAGGATGACGGAGATTTTACTATACGTGAAGTATATGTTGTAATCTGCACATTCAAAATTCTGAGGGTTATATTGTACATTATTTATGATAGGATTGTATTCGTGATATCTTATTATGCACGTTCGCTTGTTTCTAATTATAAATTAAAATAACCTTTAAATATATTGTCCGAATTTTTCTTCGGCCTGCAAAGTTCGTTCATTTGGCGAATCACCAAATGTTTTTCCTAAAACTTGTATGCGGCTTTTCAGTGAACATTCGCGCGTACATTGGAACAATTCCCCAGTTAAATCTGTAATTGAATGCACAAGCTATGTAGGCAAGAAAAGGGAGTAAAATGCACCGCTACATTCTTTCTATCTTTGGTATTTTTAAATGGGGCAATCGCATCCGCTTCTGCATGGTCAATAAACACTCAAAATTCGCGTAAGCTATTACGGTACAGTGGTACACTGCAGTTCCGAAATCGTCGAATATCGCGCAAAAATTGCTTCGATGATAACTAATTTTTCCCGACTTGTGTAACTCAGCTTCATTTTTCTCCCCCATTTCCAAAAAAACTGAAGAGATACTGAAATCTATCACGAGATTCTCTTTGTTCAACTGTATACGTTTGGGCTGCAGTGCGCGATAGCGTGACGAATCAATCGCAATTCTGGTGGGCGTGGAATTCAGGTAATATTTCAAGGATAAAAATAGAAAAATGGTGACTAGACTAACGAGTGCAACAACTATCTCAGGTCAAAATTCTTCTGCATGAAAGTGAATAGACGCACGGACACAGAGCGTCAGAGAAAAAAAAGGAATGTAGGAACAGCTGAATCTTTTATAGAACTCCAGGAAGTCAGACTGCCAGCTCCACGAGGAAGTAGAATAGAACACGAGCGTTTCCTTCATCGATGCCTTTTTATGGCGAAATATAGCGCGGATCCGTATCAATGGTAACGACACATATCTGGAAAACTGACACAAATGAAGAACACGGAAAGGAGTCACACTCTCGCGAGACTGCGTGATTTCCCATGGATCCAGGCAGCATTTTTTCACAGCTTTTTTTTTTTGCTCCGAAGCTTGAATTTCAATGTTATTAACATTCATTTTATGCTAAGAATAAACGCTTGCAGTATTTGTTGCTAGGAAGGTGAAGTTTATGTTTTATTTGTGGTGGTTCATTTTAGGAAAAGGAAATGAGTAATCTTAT